TTTACTGAAATGTTAAAAATAAGTTTCACATCGTCAAAGCATTTGTAACGTCATATATTTGCACATAAACATGGACCCCTTGTATGTTTTCAGGTATTTCTACTGCCATTGTTAAAAAAGCAGCTTTTTACCTTACCCAAGCATTAGCATCTTTCTCAAAATCAAATGCACATATACAAACATATTTACACACACACAAACATAAATGCGTGTATGTATATCGTGATAACATTGCCTAGCATGAACTGTCATCGACTGAAGTCACTCCTCCACATCTATCTATCTATCTATCTATCTATCCATCCATTTATCCATTCATACATCTATTTAACTGTTGTTAAAACGGTTGATGTGCTATCTATCTATAATAGCCAGATGTGGTGGAACCTGTCTTACTGGCTGTCTGTTTGTCTCTAGCTGCCTATATATCTATAGTCAACTTTACTGAAATGTTAAAAATAAGTTTCACATCGTCAAAGCATTTGTAACGTCATATATTTGCACATAAACATGGACCCCTTGTATGTTTTCAGGTATTTCTACTGCCATTGTTAAAAAAGCAGCTTTTTACCTTACCCAAGCATTAGCATCTTTCTCAAAATCAAATGCACATATACAAACATATTTACACACACACAAACATAAATGCGTGTATGTATATCGTGATAACATTGCCTAGCATGAACTGTCATCGACTGAAGTCACTCCTCCACAGGCTAATTAACCCAAATGTTCTGCTTTTTATAACCGAGGGTGTCACAAATACAGAACTAGACAAAAAAGGACTAGGAATTGTGTGTGTATATCCCCCTCAAAAGACTCTGGCACCATTAGCTACTTCGCAGAGACAGTTATTAGCGGACTAGCATGTCAGCTAGCAGTGAACTTTACTTCACCTGCGCTGCTGTCAGACACCGGAGGAGACGTGCGCGGCTGTCTGAGCGGCTCACCCGGGCTAAACACTGAATTTCTGATGTCTCCAGCCTCGGATGAGGAGGAGGAGGAGGATGGTGTGCTGCTGCTGCTGCTGTTGTTGTTGTACATGATCTTCGTCTCGCTGATCTCCCCCGTCCGATCACAACTGTCTCTTCGTCAGACGCGAATAAACACACGGATCAGATCTCAGCGGGCCGCTGTACACACACACACACACACACACACACACGCACACACAGCTTCACTCTACAGTCTGCTTCTCACTTTCAACTTTACTATTTCTGTTCCTGGCATCTGTCCCTCTGTTAAAGCACTAATCACTTCCTCAGTCATTCTCCAGAAACACCAGCTGATCAGAGGAGCACTGCCATCTATTGGAAATAATTATCATCCTAGTGGAGAAATATTGCAGTAAATCATGGCTTCGCAAACAGATGTGGGATATTTTAAGCTTTACTTTGACAGGAATTTGGCATGAAAACGATAGTTTCCGCTGAAAATACCACAGATACTACAATTATTATGTATTTTACATAAATAGAGTAAAAAAAAATAAATAATAATAATAAATTCAAATGGTCAATGAAAAAAAAAGTTGATTAACCTTGATTTCATATGAGGCTTATCATTATTACAGCACGTTGTGAAGTTGTTTAGATATAAACACAATTTAAAACTTTTTTTTCTGATTTTTTGTTTTTTTTTTAGAAATAAACATCAAAATTAATCAGGTTCATAAAATTTTACATAAACAAAACTGTGGTACAACAAACCTGCCTGTAACTTTCTAGTGATCCTGAAGACCTTGATTAGCTTGCTCAGGTGTGTTTGATTAGGGCTGAGGGCCAGAGTTGAGAACCCCTGACCTAGACTAAACTGTCACTCATCTAGTTGGCACTAAATGTTGTTTTGTAGCAGTTATTTTACTCTAATTCATATAATATTGTAATATTTATTAATATTAATTAAATGTATAATTTTTTTCCATTTTTAGTTTGTTTCTTTAATTGACATTTGATTTGCTTTTGAATTTTTTATTGTTATTAATAGTTCTATTTAACTTTATTTTTAAATCAGTGTTTAAATGTTACATTTTTTAAGTTTTTAATTTATATTTTTAAATTTCAGTTTACAATTATTCAAAAAAAATGTAAACGTAAAATATTACAAAAAACGTTTTAGCTAGCAAGTTTATTTATTTACTGATCAATATGTATTTCCCATAAAAAATTGAGCAAAAATTGAGGCAAATTGATTTAACACTACAATGCATGTTAAAACTAATAAAATGCAACAAAATTATTCCCATCATGCTGTAGAGAGGGCCCAAATAATGTGATATCTTGGGTGTCACCATTTTAATGAATGCGTTTCATTCATGTACTAACGGGATCACACAAAATGTTGGATACAGCTGACATTGGTTAAGATGATTTGTAATTACAAATTGTTCATTTTTGTTAATTCAACAGTAATGATTGATGATGCTGTTAAGCTTGAGAAGGACAAAACCATTTCAAGAGAGTAAAATACAAATATTTGATACTTAAAACTATTTTTGTTTCATGTGGGATGCCACATTGTTTCCATCTGGCCATTCACACATTTATGCCAGTTTAGAGACTCAACCCATCTTTAATTTAGGTACAAGAATCAATGTTTTTGGTCCTGCTGGTCTTATTTTACTCTGATCTCCTGGAAACATTGATTTGTTTCAGTGTGATCCACTCACTGGTCTAAAATAGAGATTATATAGTACGTAGAGTCAGATCAGTGGATCCATCGAGAATTGACATAGCACTTCTCAGCACTCGTTCTTGTTTAATCACAGCAGTAATTCCCATTTGTTTTATTTGTATATTTTAACCGTATGATTGGAATACTCATCAAGTAATTTTCAATGACTGCCGCACACCTTACTTTACTTTGCACAGTAAAAACACTGAAACCACAGAAAGAATAAAACACCTTTTAGTATTTCATCTATTGCTTTTACAAAAATTGTATCATGCAAGTAATCACAAACAGGCAAATAATACAGATCTCTGAAACAATAAGAGTTTCTCTCTTCACATTGAGTTACATCAGTTACATCATATTGTGCAATTATTTCCCATCAGCCTCCTGCTGTCCTCCTTTCTTTTTCTTCTTCTTGTTTTGTTGCTGCTGTGTTTTGGCTTTCTTCGTGGCCGGCTGATTTTGTGTCTCTTCTCCTCCCTGCTGTTTCCTCTTCTTGTTCTTCTTCTTCTCTCCTGATGCTCCTTCAGGGGTTTCTGGTGTCTCTGTTCCCTCCAGGACGGTGGGCTTCTTACGGTTCTTGCGTTTCTTCGTCTCAGGAAGGAAGCCTTTCTTCTTCTTCTTCTTTGTGGTCTCTTCTGTCTGCTCTGGCTCTACAACTTTCTTCACCTTTTCCATCTTTGGCTTTCTAAAATAAAGCAAAGGAAGAGAGACATTAAAGACAGGTTCATCATCAGTTAAATCTGCTGGAAATTGTTTAATACTTGAAAATAAAAATATTTTACTATGTAATAAAAACTACTTTTATTATGTAATCCTTTAAACATGAAAGATACTTCACGTATTTCACTTTTGTCTATTTTTATTTGGAACATCATGGACACGAACCAAAAGATGATTATTCATTAGCAAACAAATATAAAATGATGCTAAAAATTCAGCTTTGATCACAGGAATAAACTACATTTAAAAATATATTAAAATAGAAAAGAGTTATTTGTTAAAATTGCACTAATATTTCACACTGTTTTTTTTTTTTTACTGTATTTTATTTCAAA